ATTCGTGTAGTTATTAGCACAAGTCGGGTTCACTAGGAAATGCTGGCCAATCGCTGATTCACATTTTGGTGATAGAACTTTTGTTTTACAGGTGCGACATGGTAAATTCTTTTCTTTCACACTCTTAGTTCTTATGGGCGTAGACAATGTGATTCATGGCTAAATAAACCTTTGTTCTCAATTAAAAACTACAAAAAAAAGTTCAATGAAAAATACTTTATGTCAACTCCTATAGTGATTCATTAGATATAATACCAGCACTAGGTTTAATTCTATGTTAAATAATATAGTAAATTACAAATTATATCTATTATTATTAAGCCTTAAAATCAAGGTTTATATACTGGTTTGTTATATCGCGTATCTCTACAACCATTTCTGACAGAAGTAACACGGCTTTTGTAATTTTTACTGTTATTATTTTAGTTTCAAACAGTCCCTTATATATATATTTTTAACTCGTTTAAAATTAGTCTTACCTCACAATATAAAATGTTTTCCTCTCACCAAATGTGACGTCAGTATCGCATCTCGTCCATTTGTTCTTTAACTAATATCAACGTTATTATAATATTGACTCTTGTATATCCAGCTAAAACGGAAAGAATTTTAAACCACTATTTGTACATCTTACATTAAAGCAACGAAGTTATCAGATTTGTGTTTAAACAAAATATGGTGATCAGTATTTCTGAAGACATTAATATTTTATGTTTGAAATAAAGGAAAAATGACTTGATTTCGGTAAGGTTGATCAATTTTGTAAAGTACTGTTCGAAATTACGTTTTTCAGTGATATTGTTATAGAAAGGTCCAACTTATGCGCAGTTTTTAAGTTGCTACCATGTAAACTGGTTGCCTTGGGTTGATTTTTAAGTTGCTACCATGTAAACTGGTTGCCTTGGGTTGATTTTTAAGAGCATTCAAACATAACCCTTTTCATCTAATTAAATCTCTATTTCCTACAGTTGCTTGTCAGAAACTCGAATGGTGCTACTGGATATTTCTATATGTTGTTTTATATTTGTGGTATGCCTCAACAAACAATATTAACATGACAGAATAAAAACAGAAACTTGAGAAGAATCAGACGTTGAATAGCATTACTGCTGGTAATATATGAAACAGCAATTCAGGTTCACAAGCATGGCCACGTGGTTAGGGCACTCGAGTCGCAATCTGCGGGTCGCGGGTTCGAATCCCTGTCACACCAAACATTCTTGCCCTTTC